GTCCATGTGGTCCGATTAATTTTGAGAAACGAGATTATTCGCCTATGGTTTTTTCTTTCCTCATTTTCTCGTTCGTTTTTCTTCGAGATTAGAATTGTTGAAGTAATCAGAATGACCAATTCGTAATTTTTCATCGAAGCTTTATGCATTTGCAAGGATGCGTTTTGGAGAATCTGGATGATTTTTTGTAAAAATATTTATCGCGAAATATTTGAAATTTTTGTAGAAATATCTTGTAAAATATATTCTATAATAATATAATATAATAATCTTTTGATAGAAATTTTGCTACGATATTAAACATCCTTTTGTCCATTAAAACGAAAGCACAGGAAAGAATGGGAACATCTTATTCGAATTTTTTTGTCGGAAATTTTACGTTTTAGTCGTGCAATATTAAACGCGCTCAAACAACTACGGGTCCATTTGACTCTTAGCACGACACAGAAGCGAATAAGATCGATCGAGAGTGGCGAGGCAAAGTGGAGCGTGGCCTTATTCGCGAGTGACTCGTTAAAGATCTTAGACAACGCGCATCGTCCGAAAAAAAGTGAAATTCTATGGTGAAAAAATCGATGCTCGATGCTGAAAGCTTAGATGCTGAAAGGAAAACGAAACACGAGAGGAAAAAACCGGGGAAACATCGGTAACTGTAGAAATAGAGTTTAACGGATGTTGACTGGCCGATTTACGAGGTAAATAAATTTCGTGAAAAAAGAAATCCATCCAAGCAAGAGTCTCTGCTATTTCTATGGGTATCCGTGTGTCCACAGTTCCCTATGGAACCATTATTATTATCGAACACGCGAAACGCCACGAGACAATGGCCGTGGTGGAGATTCGAAGAAACCGGCTCCCTTTTATCCCTTCCGACCGGAAATCGCGTATTTTCTCTGGCAGTGAGGATGTCGAATGCGTCTTCCAGTTGACCAAGCGGAAATTTACAGCAATACTAACCATCCTTTGGTTTCGTTCAAAGTTCGATACGGCTCGCAACTCCTTTTGTCGTATTTCCATCATTTTTCTTGTCATTGTCAATTGCGAGGAAAAGTTGAAAATGATACGAGAATCATAGCGTTACGTCACTTTTATATTTTTGTCGCAATCTTCGCTCGACTCCTGTTGTTATATGTATTTCTTTGCTTTATTACGGAGTTGTAACATAATATTCGTTCATTTTCTTCGTTCCGTGGCGTAACGTCATTTCTCTGGCGCTTTATCAATTCCACGTACACAAATGTTACGTATCATTTTAAAAGCTACATTCCAGCCAGTCATTTCGATAAAAGTTCGTTACGAAGCGCCCAATATCTTTTTAATGAAATTTTAAACACGTTGTTATATATAAAAGGAAGGAAATTTTCGATATATTTCGGTTTTATCGAGAAGGGAAAAATACGTGGGAAAATTATGGTATAATAAATATCGGGTAACGATATAAATTCTTCAACGTTCGCAATTCTCTGTGTTTTACAACCGGTGTAATCATATTTCAGTCTCGGTAAAAGTCAACATTAATTTCGTCAAAAGGTATTTACAGTGCTAGGCCATAAATATTAGGACATCTCGTGATATCATTTACAGTTAGCATAAATTGAATGCTTTTCGTTGTTTTTATTTTCTAGTTATTTTATTATAGATTGTATTATTTTATTTTATTATAAATCTGTTATTGTACGCGCATTATATTCCAATAGACGTAACCAACACAATATAAAAACATAAAATAAATATAAAAATGTTTTTAACGATGTTTTCCATGTATATCCTAATATCTATAATCGGTAGTGCTTTCATCCTAGATAACTACAAAAAGAAAAAAAGACAAATAAGTTCAAATCCCTCGTTTCGAGCATATCCGCGAAAGGATTAAATCAACCCCATCCTCATATTCTGTGTCACAATTCAAAACGCTAAGACGGTACAAAGGAGGGGACGGAAGCTTTTCTCGGACATGTAACAAAGCAGACAGGACATCCAAACTCTGCTAGTTGGCAAGTAGAATGTCCTGTCGCCAATCAGACGCGGGTCTCGCGTTTAAAGTAGCCTTGACACCATCGCATGGCCCCAGGGTACGACGTCGTGCAGAAATCACAGAGATACACGTGGACAGGATGTCTCGGTCCGGTTCCCAAAGGACTATGACCCCAGCGTGCAGGACCTTAAACTCCTACCGCACCCTGGACCTCTTCTCCCTCCGCACTGCGTCACTCCGACTACAACTGGATCTGGGTTAGCTGGTAAAATCAAAGTCCACTGTATGCGATTTCTATATTCCCAAAATAGAAGTTTTCCGAGACGGATCTCTGTATCCTAGTTCTTTCTTTGGAAACTGTCCAAACGTATACTTTTCTGCTATATATAAAATGATGCAAAAGTGATTCCGATACTGGCATTGTTTGCGAAACAATTTTTCGGTCTAGTACAAATAGAAACGTTAGATCGATATTTTTTATAAAATTTTATTTATAGAGAGCGTCGCTTTTTGCTTTATTTATTTATTTATTTTTTTTTTTTTTTTAATGTAACTATATATTCCAAACGTATATTTCTGCTATATACAGAGTGATGCAAGAGTGACGCGATTCTAAAAATTCTGGTACGAATCAATATTTCTTATATGATTTTATTTATAAAGAGTGTCACTTTTTACTTTATCTAGTTTTTTCTAGAATGCACTTGTCCGAACGTATATTTCTGCTACGTACAGAGTGGAGAAAAAATGACACGATGTTATAAACATTGGATACTTTGAGAAACAATGGGGAACAGTCCTTGGTAAAAAATGTGTATTACATTGATATTAAATTTGTTAGAAAGAGCAGCAGTTTCGATACAAAGCGTATTAAATAGAAAACTAGGGGTAGCTTAATACAAATTAGGGAATTCATCCTATTCATCCCTAGGGGATTCGTCCCTAATTCACAGTAAATTATCCCTATTAAACGAACGAATTTACAAATAGGATAATGGGAGCTGTGCTACCCGCCATCCACGTTGAACATATTTCGTTAAATGAACATTTAAATAAAACTTAATCCTACATTGTCCACGATTATCGACGTGTAAACAAAACATCAAAAGCGGAGCTATATTTTCACATAGTCCATACCCATCAGGTTAATTAGCAATAATAATAATTACCTACTGCGACAACGAAAAACACAAACTCAGAGAAAACTACATTACCCCAGAAGCGTATAAAACAGCGCAACGTTTCAGATTAATTTCTGCAGCCCCACTTCTCATCACAAAGATTCCACAGAGTCGTATATTTCTCACATCATCCAAGGGAAGAACAACGTTACACCGTCTAAAAGGCTCACAAAGAATCTCGCGTTCCACTTTCCCATCCTCTCTTTATAAACTTCTTTCCCATCAACAACCGCGTTTCCATGTTCACAAGATTGCGCAAAGAGAACAACGAAAGAAAGAGAGAGCGTATCGAGAAGAAGGTAATACACGGGGAAAACGTCTAAATGGCCATTAAGCTACCACCAGCCGTAAACACAGAGTTCGGCTTACCACTATCTAACAGAAAGTAAGGGAGATAAGAGAAAGTAAGGAATAGGGCGATGTTAAAATTTGAAAGCGCGTCGCGATCCTCTTAGTTACCTCGGCTCGCTCGTAAAAATCGTTTTTAAAGGATAGTCGTGGTAAAATAAATGTCGTCCGCTGGCCTAAGTGCTCCAGCAGGCAGATGCATTATGCATCCGAGTCCGAGTGTCCTTCGAGCCTCGAGGAAGATGGATTTCGCGGAAGTGAAAAGGGATCTTGTGTGTCTGGCATCCGGTGAAAAATAGATACAACGGATCGAGTACCTGTCCCCTTCTCCGGCAGCTTGTAAAACACGTGTCCAATTTTTGTAACCACATGGCCGATGAATCTAGCTGAAAATTCCCCACGAACGTTCGAACGATAAAGAAGATGGATCTAGGACTGCGATCTGGCAATACGATCTGATCGACTATCACAGACGCCTGCCGCTACTTTTATCAGCAGGAATTTGATAAAAATTGCTGGGTGGATGTGGATAAATGGATTAAAGGAGCTAGAGAATAGCGAGAGAAGAATATTCTAAAGGCGCGCGAGATTGGAGATTGGTTGGGAAACGAAAACGGAAGCGGCTGGATCGACGGCGTCACGCGTGACGGCTGGTGTACAGCGAGAGACAAAAGCATTTTCCTATATTTCAGTTTAGCTTATCGCGAAAACAAAGATGTTTGTTGTATTATCGAATATAATTATTAGTATATTCCAATATGCGTATGTACAGTGGCTACCAAGGTATTTGCGCGCATATTCTTATTTTGCGAGGAAAAATGAATTTTTCTCAAGTTCTATGTTTCAAATTTTTGCGGTGATATAAGAGTACTATTAAATGATGAGTAAACACCAAAATATGTCTATGTGTGCACCGCGTGTGGCTTGTACTACTATCGCTCGTAACATTAAACAGTATACCCGGATTTTTGGAGGATTCTTTTCAAAATATCGTTATTTGTCTTTCACTTCAAATCCCCGTCGAATTCATGTTACTATTTTAATAGACTGCGAATGAAATTCTGAGAATAATATAAAAAAGACAAAAAAACGATAGAAAAATTCCATCCACTTAAAACAATATTGAGCGATACGATGGAGGGAAAAATCATAAATTCACAATATAATAAAACAACTTTCTCGATTACCCGCACGAAAGAATGATAGACACACCTGGATTAATAGATACCTCCAACCCCTTATATTTGATGAAATGTATTTTTTCATTTTTCACCTCCGTGTTTCCATTCCATCTTTTTATTCCAGTCGTAGTTTTAGCTGAGATAAATCTGACGATAGAAACAAATCTCTAAGCTCTATAAGCGAAATAGTCCTTCGTTATTAAAGCAGACTTGATAAATTTACGATTTAATAAAGGAACAATCTTTGACGTTTTGAATTGGCCGGTTTCATTAACGAGCGATCTAACACGTAGACGATTTTCCCGTCGATTGCAGGTACTTGCAAGACACGTTACCGTTCATCGACCGTACCAGGACGGCGATATGGGGCTGGAGTTATGGTGGATACGCGACGGGCATGACGCTCGCCATGGATTATCATGGTGTCTTCAAGTGCGGCATGTCCGTGGCACCTGTAACAGATTGGGCTCTTTACGGTACGTCCAACAGAGATAATATTTTCATCCGCTTGAACGTCGAGTGCTTCATCCTTATTTTACAGTCTTTTTGTTCTTGAAATATTGGATATTCACTTCACCATGATACTTCATCAACTAAATTCTTCATTATTTTAAACATACAATTTGACGGTATATTATTTTATGGACATACGGTGGCGAACGAAAGGAAGTTTATAAAATAAGAAATGTACAAAGACATCGTATTTCTACCAAATTCAATGCGTTACCCGTTAATAATCAATTTAAAAAACTATCATCGTACGACAACGACAACGATAAAAAATTGAATTCGTCTCGAGCAATCAATCAACGCTTCGTGACAATTTGCAACAGATGTTAATGCGGTTTTTAATTCGATATAACTCTTCGTTTTTCGATTAATAATTATTCCAAGTATTGTTAAACACCGCTCTCTTCATACTTGATATTTTTATCGTATTTTTTTGATGATTATTAATATAATACGTTTTACATTTATTATGACGTAATATCATAGAACGTATTGACAAATTTTGGCTGGAAAAAAAGAATGAAACGCCCTGTATAGTTAAAACATTCTTGTTTGAAATATAACGATGATATGGAAGCTTGCCGTATAATTTGACAGATTTTAATATGTTTTGCCTTTGATATTTGATTTTCATTTTACCAACGTTATGTTGAATATTATCTTTCATTAGCGGCACTTGGCCAATATATTTGCCATGGGATGGTAAGCGAGTATCCAGCCCGAATCTGTCCTTATTTGAACTGCAAACCAGTTAAACCTTTTGTCCGACCCTGCGAAATTTCCTCTGCTTGCCTAGTGTTCATATTCGAGGAGCGAACGTGAGTGTCTTTAAAGCTGCGTAAATCTAATCTCCAAGTGTGCTTAATCCTGACAATCATCGAAATACTTGAACAATTAAACCGTGCTATTGAGATAAATCTATCGCTGCCATCAACATGATCGTCGTAAAACGGAAAGGTACAGTAACGTGACGCAAAGTATCGGTGAAATATTAGCTGAAATAAACTTGTAAAATTTCTGAAATAATTTTCAAATAGGTTACACTGTTAAAAACACTAGGAAGCGAAACATTTGTTGAACAGAACGGAAAGAATAGGTAAAATATTAATTAAGAAAATATAACCAAAGTTTCAGAAATAATCAAATGTTGAAAATATCGAAATACGATGCAAAATAAAAGTAGACGAAATAAATTGAGATAAATTATTTGACTTGTCGAATGATTAAAATTGACAAAAACTACGAAACCGCGAGAATATTGAAACTTAATGCGAAGAATCGATAAAATATTATTTAAAATAGACTACCAGTGTTCTCAAAACTGATCGATAAAAAAGAAAAGCATCGTGAAACAAGGGAATCGTAAAAAACGACGCGAAGAACCGACGAAATATCGATCATAGCCCACTTCCAGAAACGACTCGTTGTCGAAACGATCAAGATTGCTAAAGCGTTGTGAAACGAACAAATATTGATAGACGGTGCAGAGAGCCGGTAAAATACCTTTTGACGAAACAGCGGAACGAACTGAACGCGATACACCAAGTTCACGATGATTTGCACGGTAGAAATGTAAGTACCAGGGCGAGGTAACGGAGCAGAAGGGAAAGACGAGAAGTTGGACTCGTCGACGGTTCGTTTCAGCCTCGATCGATTCAATTATTGTCAGGGTCTTGTCGCAGCCAGACTACGCTCGCGTTTCCAGATATCAGATTTATTTCTTCGACGAGGAGTCATCGTTTGGAGTCGTCCCTACCGGGACGAGCATTCGGGATGCTCGATCTTCCTCGTCGATGCACATTTTTAACGCGACCATTTCGTTTCTTTCACTCCTTCTTCCGTCAACGACGTCACCTTTATAGATATCGATTATTGATTACGTTCTTCTTCTCTCCTCTCTCGAGTTTCCTCTTCGCCATTACCACTACTACAGATTGTGGATATTTATGCAAATTCTTATTTTCATGTATCTTTATTTGCAAAATGGAACCTGCACAAAAGTTTCTTTTGCCTATTAAAGATGATAGTAAATACTGTGCACTTTGGATATTTCATATGTCTTTTCTGTGCGATGTTTGCATCTTAAAATTGCCCATCAATGCATAAAAGTTCATAGTCCAATCATTGCTGTTTGTTTCAAGTGTTCTGTTTGTTTTAGAATTTCTATGATTCTCTTTGTATTGGAATAAAAATTGGTAGATCGTCTTGCTTGGATAATTATAGAATTCTACATGTATAATTACACATTGTTTGAAAAATGCCTCTTACTTGATTTCTTTTCGCACTGTCCGCAAAGATATTTTTACTTCTTTTAAAATGTCCGGAATATTTTCCCAGTCGGTGATTTATTAAACTTCCTCTTACAGATATCGATTATGTCCTTATTCCTGGAAGTTCCCTTTTTATTCTAACTTCTATCACTATTATTATCGGCCTTTTTTTTAGATTGGAATAAAGATTGGCACACAATTCTGCTTGGATAATTATGGAATCATCAAAGATAAACACCAGATGGAAAAGTAATAACGTCCCTTTTACGTCCCCTTTATTATCTTCTTTTTATTATTACTATTATTATGGTCTGTTTCTTTCTCTGCTTATTTATGATCATATTTGCGATTCTTTTTGAAATGGAAATGAACGCTTCGATGATAGTCGAAACAGATGGAAAAATAATGCCAGGACGAAGATAAACATTATATTCGGGTAAATATTAAATGAATTGTTTGAGATGATTAAGCGGCACACGGTTATAGCAAATATTGACGTGAGTATAATAATATAATTGCTGGAAACACGGTAATTAGCAGTTGCGGGTTAATTAAAGATCATTAACTCGATAATCTTTACGCCTGGCGTATGTACGACTAAAAAAAAAATTAATGAATTCTCGTAACTCGTTCAAAACTCAATCGATATCGTGGAGCAACTCTCTCTCTCTCTCTCTCTCTCTCTCTCTCTCTCTCTCTCTCTCTCTCTCTCTCTCTCTCTCTCTCTCTCTCTCTCTCTCTCTCTCTCTCTCTCTCTCTCTCTCTCTCTCTCTCTCTCTCTCTCTCTCTCTCTCTCTCTCTCTCTCTCTCTCTCTCTCTCTCTCTCTCTCTCTCTCTCTCTCTCTCTCTCTCTCTCTCTCTCTCTCTCTCTCTCTCTCTCTCTCTCTCTCTCTCTCTCTCTCTCTCTCTCTCTCTCTCTCTCTCTCTCTCTCTCTCTCTCTCTCTCTCTCTCTCTCTCTCTCTCTCTCTCTCTCTCTCTCTCTCTCTCTCTCTCTCTCTCTCTCTCTCTCTCTCTCTCTCTCTCTCTCTCTCTCTCTCTCTCTCTCTCTCTCTCTCTCTCTCTCTCTCTCTCTCTCTCTCTCTCTCTCTCTCTCTCTCTCTCTCTCTCTCTCTCTCTCTCTCTCTGCCGTAAACATTTCCGCGGGAAGAATTTCAAGTTATATCGCCGGTTCATTTCGCTCGACCTACTTAACCAATCAAAATAAAAGCCAAAAACGAAAGAAACGAAGGGTAGAAAAAAAAGTGAATGCCGAATGAAATTGAATTCCGTGCGAGATCGAATCGAAAACGTTCGTCGAATGGTCGTTAAACCGGAAGGGAACGGCTCCTCCGCAACAGTTTTCGCGAAAGAAAATACCGCCGCAGCCTCTCCGCGCCATAAATCATCGAGCGCGAAGGTTTTATTAAAAGAAGAGCGTTCGAAGTACACCTATTCGATTACCTTTCAAACGATTATGTTCCAAAGCTTCTTTAAACTTCCTGTTCCCATAGTTCAAATTGTGATGCAGTCCGAGAATTTTTCTTCGTTTCTGGCTCGATCGATGGAAAACGAATTTCAAGAGTTTATTTTGAGAATATTCGCTTCCTTACCTACACCGCGAATCGAAAATATAGTTTACCATATATTTCATTATTTTAGTAAAGTAGCAATGAAGTTCCAGTTGGAGAATAAATAAATTGACGAAACGATATATTAGAATTACGATAATATCGATAATGCAATATTGCACTGCAAGTGAAACGCACGCAAAAACTCGGATATAAGAAGAAGAAAAATATTAAACGCGTAATTTTTTTTCAAACATAATAATTTAAATGTAAAACAGAGCAAAAAGTTTCTCGCTATTGTAACAAAAATTTACGACTCAAAAGCGACTGCGAAACGCTGCTTTAAATTTAATTAACAAGTATCGTCGATTCACCTTATACAAGTATGCGTTCGAAATTATTTTCTAAATTCTATTCGATACCTATCGTGTTACATCGAAATTTACAACATTCGTTCGATATTGAAGCTAAAGAAAGTATCAGATAATGACTAGTTATACAGTGATATTGGATAATCGATGCACATTGTACAGATTCGATATACACGGAACGGTTCATGGGCTTACCCTCGGACAATCTGCATGGCTACGAGCAAGGTCAACTGCTGAACAAAGTGGATAATATTAAAACGAAGATGTATTACTTGATCCATGGCACATTGGACGATAACGTGCACTACCAGCAGTCACTGTTACTCGCCAAGGTTCTCGAGCAGAAGGATATCCTGTTCAGGCAACAGGTATGATATTCGAAAAAGATGTACGTTCGAATAATTGAATTATTACCTTCAGATCGCGCATACTCTTACTAATACGAATACAAATTTCTAGACGTATTATAAACCGTTTTTGTAAACTAAAGAAATAGACATTTCTTTTCTATTTTAGTTATTTGTATCATATACATCCTTCCTATCTTTATACATTTTAGGATGATTCGTACTAGCGATCACGTTACGGTTAAATCACGTCAAGTCAGGCATCGGACAAAATCGCTTACGCGTAGTCAAGTCAGAGGAAAATCTCTTGATTGGTGGCTGACTTGATGTGATCTGACCGTGTACCGTACGTCTGAAGCTAAAACCTAAAGCTTTAGGTTTTCCATAAAATATATATATATATATATATATATATATATATATATATATATTAAATAAAAAGTTCAACTAATTACATTATAGGAAGGTTTGTTTCTATATAGCATTTGAAAATTGTATTTGTAAAAATTGGTAAATAACTAGAAACTGAAGCAAGTTAAATTCGGTATAAAAATGTTTTCTACTTATCGTTTAATAGTAGTCTCATAGTTGTCTAACAATTTTTTCAGAATATTATCCACGCGGTGGATAAGAGGTATATAAAAAAGGGGACCGAGTCGAAAACGCTCGGCACGCACCGCGTTACTTCAAACAGTTTACAGAATTATTATGCTTGGCATTCGCCTACGTGCTCCGTGGCCGACCCATGGTGTTTAACGTTCGCGATTAAAATCTACAAAGCGCGCGCGAAGTGCAGTTTATTCCGCCTGAATAAATTCCCACTGTTTCGTTTAAAGTTTAAGTTTCATGTGATACACTTTTGTTAAAATGAGTATTACGCAACGCATGGATTCGTGCCGTTTCCAGCGCAATCGCCGCTATTTGTTCTCTCTAAATAAATAGACTTGCCACGTTATTTCATCGTACACATAAGCTTTACAAAATATTTGAAAAAAAGGATCGTGTGAAAATAGATACACTGACCCACGAAAATATTTGACCATTTACCATCGAGAACTTTTATGTCCATATTGCGCGTGTTATATAAAACATTTTCGATTTCATTGGCCCTGCAACGAGTGTAAGTTCTGTAAATGGTCATAAACCCTGTAATAAGTGAAATTTGAAGCCAATCTGGGAATTTGTTTAAAAGTTGCAAGATATTTATTACAAACATATATCTAGTTAAAAAAAAATTGGTATACAAAATATTTCGTAAAACACACATGATATATTTATAAAAGAAATTATATTTTTTCCAGACTTACACGGACGAAGACCACGGGATCGCTCAGTCACGAGCTCATCTTTATCATTCATTGGAAAACTTCTTGGACGAATGTTACGAAGCCTCATGATTGCAGCGTCGAGAAGAAACGACAATCTAGATCCTTTACGTCACCTGCCTCACATTCCACTTGTAAATACCTTGCCACTTGTACATACTCGATGTACAATATGTAATATGAAGCGTTAGTGTAAATAATTGAAAATGAAAAATCATGAAATACATTCGATTCAAACGAAATTGCAGGCTGAAGGACGGTTCTATACAACTTCCATTTCGTGGCTAATAACGAAGGAATTTTGCCACGTATTCGAAATCAAATATAGTCGCCAATATAGACATTAATTAGTATATTTGCAAATTGTTTGAATCGAGTGTGACCATTGATTGTTGAGAAATTTACAATCGACCCGAAGAATTTTTTTAATCTATTTTTTTGGAGAGACTATTTCGATCGTCGAAGGCCTAATGGACTCGAGAATAAATTTATAGCCCCTTACGGATAAATAAACTAACGTATGAACTAACCAACGCTGCATCTTGTGAAACATTCTTGTGGAAGTAAGTTTCGTGGAACGAACCGGATGCAACGCGTCGCATAATCGCCGATCACTTTGGAATTTCGAGAGTAAAACGAGTGTTTTTCTGTGAGATATATTATATTGTTAACGAACAGATGTTATTAAATATTATATAGCGAGACGAGAATTCGTACGTTTAATTACGAATTTCTAAAACATGTTCCTGTTTCGTTTCGAGCATTATATGCGAGGCAAGTGAGAGTCGTATGTGAAAAGAAGTATAATCGTACTCTCTGAGGGGTATTAATGGAAGAGAAGAATGAATATCTGATTTAGATATGTTTCTTTCTGAAAGGAAGAATGTTAAAAAAAAGATATGTATTCCATGATATACCTTTGACGATATTTAATCCTTTTTATTCCTTTTCTTTTTTGTAGCTTAGGAACTTTTGGTGATGGTACATAATTTGTTTCGTATTTTTTTCTATATTTTGCTTTTTACGTGTCTATTAACAATTTCAAGTTGCTAATATTATATATGTTTTATGTTCGACCATAATTATATTGCTTTATATTTAACATATAGCTTTATAACGATAAGAATACGTAACTAAACGTAATTGAACAAGATTATTTAAACGTAAAGATAAATTCTTTCCTGTTGATTTTATCAATGTTAGGATAAAGAAGCCTTTCCGACACTATTCATAGTGTAAGACTTCAATCGTGTATATAATTAAGTTGCTGGACTGGTTGTTAAAATTTCCTCGATATACGATAGCGCGCATCTATTTCTCTTTACTACTAAAGAAAATATAAAACATTATTGTGACTAATAGTTAATACTTAAATCTATCCCGTAGTGTAAGCGACGTACTAACAGACTTTAAAAAAAATACCAGGATTTTATAATGAAAAGGACCACTGTAATGGTTTCGAAGACAGATTAATAGGAACTTCCTAAAACTAATTGTTAACTTTTATTCCAATGTATTGTACAAAATATTTAATCGAATATATACCATTAAAAGATACATTATTACGAAATTTCCAACCATGCGTAATTAGGGGAAAAATATAATGATAATTCAGCGTTATTATGAAAATTATTATGTAATTTCTCTCCTTACTATTATTATGAGTCCGATTCATTGATATTTGTTGAGTGCATCATAAATAAAGCTCTATGTTTTATTAACACAGAGTGTTTTATGTTTTGATAATCATTTACCAATCAACTAATTAAATGGTGTTGAATGTAAAAATTGAAATGTATAATAAAATTTTCTGTTATGAATTCTCTGTCTCTTTGAATCTGAAAATAAAGTCTTCTTAAAACAGTTCCTTTTTCATAGAAGAAAAAAGCGTGCTTCTTAATAACACTTAAAAAAACATACTTGCACTTGGTGCATGTGTAAAATACTGTCTGTCCTTCATCCGCTGATCTCAATTGCAATGTAGCATATGACATTTTATCATTCTGACATTGAGGACATTTTCTTTCAACAATTGGGCCTTCTGCTTCTTCCATTACATCATTCTTTTCTTTTGATGAACCATAAACATTCTTTTTATTAAACTCAATAGTGTACGACATCGCCATATCTCCAAAAGCTAACCTCGAAGATCATTTATCATTTAACATCAATTTTTTACAATTACTTTTTAAGTAAATAAACAACAAATAATTCAAATTCTCACACAGTGAGATAAGACAAATGTGGGAAAATATAAAATACACAAAAAATAATAAGTACCTTCGGGACCCCAAACCCTTTTACAAGCATAACATTTTACATTTCCTTTATCACCTAACAACGGTAGAATGGATCCACAATCAGAACAAAAGCCAGGAGTGCTTATGAAAGAACCAATATTATGCGCCATTTGAAATTAAATTAATTAATTAATTAACAGGGATCGTAATAAAGAGACAACACAACACTAAATTAACGTACACGTGAGCTGAGAAAAACATTTCTGCTACAACCATAGACTACGAGATATAAGAATGGAAACTCATAACCTAAATTAAAATAGTTATCACGCATGCCTTTCTAGTATACGAATTTTCTATGCTTGTTATACACATAGAAATTACTTCAACGTTTGATAGATAAACGCCGCGCGGCGTTCCTGCGCGTGTATGTTTTGCTCGTTTACTCGATCAGAACCGGCAAAATGGACGATATAGTACTCCGAGTATCTGATCATGTTTTAGAAGTGATATTTTCCTATTTAGATCTGCACACGTTGAGAAACTGTTCGTTGGTGTGCAAACGATGGAACCGTTTTCTAAACGATGAGAACAATGACGCGTGGAGAATGCACTGCATCAGAAAACTGGCCCAAGAGGCGCTCAGTTCCGATTTATTGTCATCGGTACCTACGTACAAATCGAAGCTCCGTGCATTTTATCACGCGTGGAACCCCAATGACTGCTCCCGTAATGTTTATATTAGACCGAATGGATTTACCATGCACAGGTAGAACCTTGGATTCTGTCATCACCGCGTGTTAATTCGTGATTTATGTTCCGATCTCGATCTCGATCTCAAGTTTCCACACACAACGTTAAACCCTGTTATTTCGTTAATTGTCATATTAAAGTTGCATTTATATATTTTAACACCGAAGATTAACGAAACACATGAAAATCTGCAACAGGTTTTTCTAATAAAAATGAATTTTTTAAAGATGCGGTCATAAAATATAAACTTCTGATGTTAAGTGTGTTTTTATATATATATATAAGCGATAAGTGAGTGCTTGAATCTTTACTACTTGAGTTATAGGAATCCAGTTGCTCAGAGCACAGATGCCTGTAGAGGTAAAATTGGCTTCCAGCATGGACGTCATGCCTGGGAAGTTATTTGGGAAGGTCCTCTGGGAACGGTAGCAGTAATAGGTATAGCTACAAGAGAAGCACCTTTGTTGTGTCATGGATACGTAGCATTAGTTGGCTCCGACGAGCACTCATGGGGATGGAATCTAGTAGACAACCATCTGTTACATAATGGGAATGTGCAAGGAAATTATCCTTTGCTTAACAATGCTCCAAAATACCAGGTATGTAGAATTTTGTTTATCATAACTTTTATTTAGCTAAGAAAGAACATCGTCTAAAGTATTAAACTTTATAATTAACAGGTTGGGGAAAGAATTAGAGTAATATTAGATTGTGATGATAACACATTATCTTTTGAAAGAAATTATGAATTTTTGGGAGTGGCATTTAGAGGTACTATATACTGTTGCTTTTCAACTAACGATAGATGTTTAATAGGAAAAATTTGTTTTATATTAATAACAAATTAAATGCATAGGGTTGCCAGACAAAAGATTATACCCATCTGTATCTGCTGTGTATGGAAATACAGAGGTATCTATGGTGTACTTAGGACCACCTTTAGATGGCTAACACTTTACTTCTAGTAGAGACATATCCCCAGAGGCTTAATAAGGCTGTATGAAGTCTGAATGCAACATTGTTTGCGTCATACCAAAATGTCTACTATGAAGTAGAACAAGCACACAAATGAAGTGTATGATATCTTTTAAGAGAGATGTGTGCCTGTTCATTCAGTCAATATCATTGTAAATAGTATTAGCATTCCATTTCAATCGATAAATTCATGATAGTGCTTTATACAACGCTAACAGTTATAAGTTACTCAATAAGCAACATCCATAAGTTTCACTTGAAATCATACATTCGCTAATAGCTAGCGGTCTGTGCATTTGATAATGAAATTTCTCGTCTAAATCTCACGATTGAAAGTATCTTTATACGAGAATGTTGTTACGTATTACGGATTTCGAAATAATCATGTAAAAATATTCTTAAATTAGGCGATTTGTGAGAAAGAAGTTCCTCCGTGAAGAAAATATGAATATTCTTCCAGTGGACATGAATCGGAATTATTTTGTTATTTTGAGGTCTTTTCAGATCATGTAGATTGCAACTTTTTAGTTGATATTTCTGTACAGAGAAAAAGTATTATTCTTTACTCTTCCATGCAATATTAATATTCAAGTCCTTGTATAAATATATGCTTTATATGAACCTTATAAAATTTACTCATCTGCCAAAGGAATGGCGAAATCTTACTTGTTTATAAAATAGTCACATATTGCGATAATTAGCTTATTTCTATCACTATTAACGAGTCTACCACTAACAGTATAATTTTGCGAGGACTGTGAGAGGAACAACTGTGATTCGTCTGCATTTTATTAGTGTATTCGTTTTTTTCAGCAATGTTTGCATAAGTATTTTATTTATTTATTTATGGTTTCCATTTATTTATGGTTGAAATATTTCATGTTAGGAAACAAAACATTAAGGTCCTTTCTTATGAAACATTTATTACGCTTCGTCTTTTTTTATTATATATGTGTAGATATTTATATGTAATTTAAATTAATATTTATTTTCTAATGATAAGAAACGACTTTTTTAAAATATCGATAGAACTCAAGCAGCGAAATTGTCAAACAAATCGAACTTCGAAATTACAGTATACAGGGTGTTCCAGTTAAAGTGTTCATAGCTGCTTTATTTGTCAATGTATAAAGCAATGTCGTAAATTGTAAAATATATCATGGTAGTAAAATTCCGATCGATTTGTATGATAATTAATCATTTTCTTTTTTAAGTAGGGCAACGCTAGAAAACAAAACTAGTACCTGTCGAATTCATCTATGCAATATCATAGTCGGACTGATTTTTTTATTCTTTACGAAAATTTTGTTCTTGCATTATGGTATACTGTGTACAATATAGATTTGTGTTATTCAGTTGCGAAATCATCATGTATGTATAATCGTGGTGTGAAGTTCAACGATCACTATTGTGATTGATGCACAACAGATCTTACTTAAATTAATGTAATCGACATTTCGATTCGCTTGCGCATTTAGTGTAAGAAAATCATGTATCGACTATGGATGAAAGTTGTACATCGTGCTCTTTGAAATATGTTTATAAATAGTAATTAATCATCGACGCCTACGATCGACGCTAGAACTTCAAAAAATATTTCATGAGTATGATGGCGAGTAAGGATGATTTTTTAATGTACATATTTATTATTGTCATTACGTTTGTTACGTGTAGCTTCGGTAAAATTAGGTTTTTCTAAACTTTTGTACAGAATTGTGTACATATAATAGCGATCATGGATGTATGAGGGAAAAATAAACCTTGTTTCGTATGTGCCCAATGGTTTCATTCGCATAAATAACAGACATTGCGGGTCACGGACTGATTTAGAACTAATACCTCTCTCGATCGATGATCGATCCAGTCAGGTCTCCATGGAAAGAAGCATATTCTCGTTTAGAAAATGCGAAAAGTAATATAAGTTACTTCGAATACGAACTACCAATATTACACGTGGAGTATAGTGGTGCCTTATTACAATTCTTTCGATGTAATCTCGATGTGGCTACGATAATACAATGATAGCATTAAGTATTTCAATTTTAATCGACATCAACCCGTTGAAACAATTCGAATCATCGGTAAAAAAGAACAAAATGCATCGTTTTGTAAATACACGTGTTACGCGCGCATCATGTAACCATATTCGCGAAACCATTCTGTACAAACGTTTAGAAGAAGTGTGAATTAGTCGTGATACGATTAAGCTTGGAACACCGGTATACTTGCACGTATATCAGAAGAGTGAGAGTTTTAAACAAAAAGAAAAAAAAGAATGTACATCGCTCTGTAAATAAATTATTTTATTTTAATGCTTTAATGTTTGTATTGTTGCATACCATGAATCATAATGGCTAAGAAATCTTAACGCTTCTCTTCTAAAAGAGAAATAGAACAAGGGGTGTTTCATGTCATGATTTCTCTTTTATTTGAATCATTTATACAATAGATACTTCGTACAAACCTCTTTCACTTCATATCCCGTACAATTTAACGATTTTAATATTATAATTCAGAATCAAATGTAATGTTTCTTTCATCCCTTGTTCTCTGGGGAACCTTCAGGTTCCTTTCAGGTTCAAAGTACCTTTGCAACAAGTTTACTACTGTTATGAAAATGACGCTTTCCATAGCTTACAAAAATATAACGCCAATTTGTTGTACATTTAATTTCTACTGCTGTGCAACTTATAAATAAGTATTAACTTAGTTATAGATATATTAAAGATTCAATGTTACCACGTTACCATGAATGTTACCATGAAAGAAAATATTTAGTTGAATTCAACTTTCTTTAGTGTATTAAGACATTGAATCTTACATATATGCGATTCTCATCACGAGTGCTTATTCGAATGTAAGAGAAATGACAGAGGTGTAAATTTGAGAAGATATAGCTGTACATACATAAACCCTTCTGTACATACTACATATAATAATTTCTTTTTACTAAACCTATTAGGAAACACTGTGACTCAAAGCATTTATCTTAACTGATATAACTTGTAGAGTAAATACAAGTTAAATATTTCTTGTTGCACAGCATCATTCCAATGACTGTTAATATTACGAAATTTTAATTCATATTACGAAACAATCATTGTTATAAAAGTTCTTTTTTTTTTTGTTGTTGTATAGTCTATCGAAAATCAAAATTAAAATTTTCACAGGCCTTTGTAATTGCAAATTAGATACAAATATTCGGTTTTGAATAAAATGTAAATAATATTAAGATTTCGTGTATATCCTTTCGTGTGGAACTCTATCAATGACATTATGAATAGATTGGAATCTTTATTTGCAATTTTTCGCTTATACACAATGTTTTTCCGTGATTACGTTTATTTTCCACACAAAAGAATTAGTTGATAAAAAATGCGCACGATTAAAAATTGTAATCGAAAACGTTAAAATATCTCATTTTTACAATAACATTTTCTTTCATTTTAAAATAGTAATATAGCAACACACTCACAAAATTCGAAATGGATATATTTTTTAATGTAAAAATTTTAACAAACCAAATTTGGGACCGGAAAGAAGTGTTCTTCATTATTAGGCCATAAAAGTTATAAATACTTTCTAAAATTTATTCTATGAATTCGTTATTTCATTATTATGAGCAAATGTTTGTTTTATGACTAATAGTTGAAGATTTGATAATTCGACAAAAATATGATAATGTTATTTAAATAGCGAATATTATAATAATAAAATTGCTACTTATATATGTACATATAGGAATTATAAAACAACAATTTATTGATGCTTATTTGAATTTTATATTGTTCCATACAAATTTTTATACAGATATTTGCTATATGTTTTAATACTTTTGAATGAATTGTTGCATGAGAAAATGTATTGTAATAAATAAAACTTTTGGCAGTTGGTATACATAAAATCATTGCAACACTATTTTTATGGATTGATAATATGGAATGAGTTGGGTAACTAATCTAAATATTTTATTACATGCACTCTATTAACACAATTTATCACATGTGTTTAAAATGGATAAGCAGTGCTTTTATTAATTATTAGTATATTCATATTTCATTTTGTATCACATGATGTAATTAATCATTACATATGTATATCACAATAAATCTCCTTTATCGTAATTGGAATAGGGATGAATTTAATAAGGAATGAAAATCATTCTATAAAAATAATAAGATACTGAAATATATAAATACATACATTAAGATTATGTTTAAAACTTAAAATAAATAAATCACACAATTCATTGGTATATTCCTCTTCTAATTACAACAGGTACTGTACATTATTTTAAGCATTAAGATAATGTTATATTTAAGCTCAATAAAGAAGAAAGTGAGTCTTTAATTACTCCAAAAAAAAAAGTGGCATGCATGACAAGCTCTATATAACAATAATCTATAGAGATAATATATCTAGAAATATTTAATTATGGTTTACTTCAAACTGAAACTGAAAAATCATCACATAAAAAAATATAGCGTATGAAATAACATTAATCGCTGCATTGTTAAACATTAATCGTTACACTGCTAAACATAAATGCTGCATTTTTAAATAGGAAATGTTTTACAAATAACATTCCTAATCACAGATGCATCAAAAATGCAAGACCATCGGATGCTCCTAATCTCTCGTAAGATAATTCGCGGACTCTCCTTCCGCTAAATGGAAAAAATGTACTACACGGCAATGGTAGCACCTATTTAAAAGTCGTTACAGACTCATATTTGAGATTTATAAATTCCTAATTACTACCATAACTTGCCCTGCACTGTTCCTATTCACCATAATCACACATACAGTGCGAAAAAATAACTACAAATTTGTTTATTTAGGAAAAGGATCATCGATCTTTACAGGTAGTGACTGTACAATTACGAATTCACAAATGACAAACACAAAATGTCTTGTGTTCATTTCATTATTGACATAGAAACTTATCTATTTTCCTAAATCAAGTACTCACTGAATTGCAGCAGAAATTATGAATTACGAAATATGGATCTAATTTACGTGAGTATGTCCATTTCCTGAAGTATTTGCATCTTCATATAATTTCTCATTATCATCCACTTTATTGTTTTTTGCAAGTACGCGATCAAGCGTTGGTTTTACTCTAGTTGGCGGAAACTTCGTTATTAAGAAATTCGACGCGAAACTGAATAACTTGGATAACAATGGGCACAGTAATCCTTGATGAATAAACGTCCATACCCGATAATATTGACCTTCAAAAGGGTCAAGAATAGCTGCACATAACATATGACTAAGATTCACTTGTATTGGCTAAAAAATGGAATGTTGGAACATTAGAATGGATTGAAACACAGAATATGTGTTAATATGAAATAACACAAACCAAAGCAATGGCTTGGATAATCCAGAAATGATAAGCTAAATTTATTCCATAACTGAAAACGGACCAGCTCATGTCTGATAGAGGTTCCACATTATACACACCTAAACACAAAAATTAGGATAGCGTTACATAACGAATTTTGTCACATGATTTTCAAATTAATGAGAGAAAATTAATTGTAACTACCTCCGATTCTCAGTAAGTAATACGGTATCACTACCATTAAACCATGCTGAATATAGTACATTGCTTTATCAGCAAATATCTGAAAGAATTATATCAATGTTAATTTGGATCATTAAATTATACATTTCTTAGTGAAACATGATAATTTACTCTGCGAGATTCTGTCTCTGGGAATAAATATGCTAAAAGTGGTCCATTCAAAAAGTTCAAATGTATCCTGAAGATAGCTGTGACTGTAGGACTAGGATCTGCTGCCAGTAAATACAACTATATTACAAAAAAGACAATAATTGTAAACAAGTACAAATAAAATATATACATTCCTTATTCAAATGGTTCTATTAATTTTACCTGTACAGCTGTGGTTATATGGCAAGGATTTAATATATATACAACTGTCCTGCTGGTAAACTTAAAACCAATTTCCATTCCTAGTACTAATGACATAATAATTAATAATACTCTTCTACCAACACAATCATGATTTACATATGATACTTTGGTTGGCAATTTAATTCGTTTATAGCCCCAAACAAGGAAGGTTATTATGAATATCGATATGATCAATGTTTCAATGATTCTTCGCTTTGGACTTAGGTAATATGCACATTCTGGTCCCACATTGCGTGGTATTGAAGCATTAACACCATCGTATGCCCATTCGAACATTGCTATGAATTCTTTTTGTAAGTCTGAAATGAAAAACATGATAGAATTTAATAGTTCAAGCACAGATTGGATCACTTTCATACCTGCACTATCCGCAATGACGAATTTCAGACTATGACACTCAAAATTTGTCTAATTTGCCAGTCAGAATGCTTCACTAGGAACTATGATTTGCATTTTAATGTTTCTAACTGAATTGTTAGACAAGCAGAATCATTCACGTAATAAGATCCCACGTTTGAGTGTCATATCGGAAAATGTAATTATCGATTCATCAAAACGAAGAAGGGTCTTTAAATAGAAAAATCATAGAACTGAACGTACGTAACTTCACTGATCCTACGTCTTACTAAACTGGGAAATAGTGCAAAAGACTTGGAACTGATATGTACATGTAATAAGACTCATTAAATATAAACAAGCATCATACTTTACACCGCGTATTTGCTATCAAAGAACACTATCGGAAGTGTTGAAGCCCCTGTTACCATTTTCGAGTAATTTTTAACGTTACCGACTCAGTAGAAAATAAGATTACTATATAATTGTACATATGGTGCTTAATAGATGGCACTATAACGTTCTACCAACGATCAATTTTATTTTTAATAAGTACATACAAAAATAGATTCGAGACAGGCCTAAATGTAGTTACTTCGTCAACAATTAAAAACTTTACTTCTATAAGTCTGTGATAAGACTAAATGCATTTTTGTGTCACACATTTTGCGGGCCATCGACCTCCTTTTCCTTTTCGTGTCATATGCGACGTTATCGATTCAATATTGGTTCGAATTAAAACTGAAATCTATGAAATTATTACTTTTATATAATTACAAATCGAAAAACTAAGACTTAGAAGTAAGGCTTAAAACCAACGATGCACGTTACAATTAAGATGCAAAAGTAAGGCTTAAAATTAGCGATAGAAATTAAAATTAAGACTTAAATGTAACTGAGACATGTTCAGTCTCGTATCACACGATAACAATTCATTCGCAGCTCCTATCTAAGAGAAACATTGATGTTTCACTTTACCCCACTATCCTCTATCTTTGTATAAAAAAACGCACACAATGGATTTAGCCTAGACATATTTATCATAAATGTTGCTAAAACTAAAATACACCTATCTCTTGATATGTTTGCACTATTCCATAATTAAATTGTAAGATGTATGCATCCCACGTTGGTTATTTGAGCCAAGAATTAAAATTAATTATTTTAACCTAAAACTTCAAAATAAGTACACATCATGCACCATCCATCTCTCACAGAACGATTATACAAATTACATAGATCTTTATTAGCTTAAAAGTAAGCATACACCACACGATATTTATCTACCACAGAACTATTACATGCATCATTACAAAGATTATGCGATAAATCGTAGCTTGGCCTAAGTATATGGATAATGCTCGCAAAGGAGCGGTTAGAAAGATAGAGAGAGAGAGAGAGCTTTCACGCTTGCAGGGTCCCATGTCGAAGAGTAGTAGTGGATGTGCGTCCCACTGTGTCCAACGATGTCCCACTGTGTCCAACGGTGTCCCACTGTGTCCAACGGTGTCCCA